GTGGTTTTAATTTGCATCTCTCTTATTACGAGTGATGTTGAATATTTTTTCATATGCTTGTTGGCCATCTGCATTTCCTCTTTGGAGAAGCGTCTTTTTAGCTCTTCTGCCCATTTTTTGATGGGATTGTAATAACTGAGATTTTTTTATTGTAACTTTTTAAAAAAGATTTATTTATTTATGCATATAAGAACTGGGGTACAGGCCAGAGGTATGGGGGTGAGAGGATATTGAGTGGGAACAGAACAGGCAGATTGACTGAAACACTGCTGTGGGGAGCAGCGAGTGAGACAGGAGAGGTCTGCTGCGCCCTGTCATTAGCTCCCTGGCTGGGGATAGAACTCAGGCCCTATTGGTGATAACATTAAGACTCAACCCCTAAGCCACAGGGGAAGTTCCAAATCTCAATATTTTGGTGAATTGTTAGATTTAAAAAAAAAGAAGAAGTCCTCACAATAACAGAGCAGCACAGCTTATACCCAGGCAGGTGCCTGATTCTGAGTTTGAACTCTTGTCCTTCAAGTTGACAGAATCATTTCTAATTGCTCTGCATTTGCCATCTTGAAATTCATAGTAATGTTACGTTAGAATCTGTGTTTGTAAATAAATAAAGTCTGATGGACAATGGAGCAAGTACCAGGGACCTGGTGCCTGGCTCGTGAGTGTTTTCTCCTCCCACCACCCTCAAGTTGCCCTGAAAAATCTAGAAGCTCTGTGAAACACTGAGGCCTGACTTCAGGAAGTACATGGGAGTGACCGAGTTAGAGAACATTTGGATTATATTATATTTCCTTCAACAAATATTTATCAAGTCCACCCACATACTAGATGCTGCAGATGTCTGTCTAAAGTCAACAGATAGATAAATAGAGCAGCTACAGTGTTTTCCAGGATAAAGAACTGAGTGTGGAGGTGGGAATATGATAAAAAGCAAGGACCGTTGCTATGCACCAGACCACTTTGTACGCATGTTTAATTTAGGCAGCACCAACTGTATGAAATCACAATGAACTAAGAGAGATCAAATAAAAAATACCTGTTTCAGGGCCCTCCATGGTGGTGCAAGGGGTTAAAGCACAGCACTATGAAGCTATCTGCAGCACTGCAGCATAAGTTCAATTCCCGGCAAGGGAGCTGACCACATGGCGCAGCGGACCTCTCCTGTCTCCCCAGTGCAGTGTATTTCAGTACATCTGCCCCTCAGCAGTGTATTTCAGTACATCTGCTTATTCTGCTCCCTGCTCTTTCTCTAGTGAATCCTGTATACATGAATAGATCTTAAAAAAAAAAAAAAAAAAAGGAATTCACCTCTATGATCTCTATGGTGTAGAGGGTGTGAAGGGAAGCTGAGTAGCTGCAAGGTGGGCTGTCCACCTTTCTCCAGAGCCTTCAATAGCTGCTCTGCAAAGAAACAATGGAATTCCTTTACGCATTTGTCCTGTAAAGACAGCACACTTTTAAGTTTTCCCAGTAGAGGGCACTAGATCACAGCGCAGGAGGAAGCGACTTCCTGCAGTTCCCAAGGCGGGCAGGGGTGTGTGGCCTGGTGAGATCCTGCACCTACCTCAGCCTGGCAGTGATCTTTCCCCAGACACCTCCCAGACGCCCTAGTCAGGCCCTGGTACCTGCACACAGACACCTGTTTCCTGCTACCTTCCAGGGACTCATTCACCACAGTTAATAGGTCTTCATATTAAACCTCCCTGTTTAGTCTACTGGGTGGGCTCAAGCTCCTGAGAGACCCACACTGATGCTGTGACAGTCACACTTTGCGCTTTCCCAGTTACAAACGTTGCCCGTTCTCAGTCTTGCTGTTTGGCCCTGCAGTCCTGGCTCTTGTGGTTTGGATCTGTATTTCCCTCGTGACAACTGATTGAATGTCCATCTGTGAGACTAAACACACCTGACCTTGGGAATTTTTATCATTCGGGAGAGAGATATCAAGAAACTAAGTAAAGAAATATTGAAGATAGTCAAAATATGTGGTATATTAACTTTCTTGGTGGGGGGATCTGTGACAAATATTTTAAGTATTTGTAAGAATTAAGATAAATTATAATTTTATCTTAATTTAAATATTTGTAATAATTAAGATAAATTTTAAAGTCCAATTTGAAATGTGAAATCCACAAAAGGGGTCAGATTGGGTTGAATAAAAATATTAAATAAATAAATAAATGTGAAATCCAGTTAGTGGCTATGATACATGTTTTTTTGACATCTTATTGTTTATGTTCATTATTAGCACAATTGATAGGATATAAGAGCACATTTATATGCTTAAAATTTTAGATTCCTGGGCCCTCCCTGGTGGTGCAGCAGGTTAAAACACAGCACTAAGAAGCTCAAGACAATTCTTCATGAGTTCGATTCCCACCTGCCCCGGAGGAGATCCACATGGCGAGGCAGACCTCTCCTGGCCCTCCCGCTGCTCCCCTCAGCAGTGTACTTCCTTGATCTGCCTGTTGCACTCCCCACTCTGTCTCTGGTGAATCCTCTCACCCTCCGCATCTCTGGCCTTTACCCCAGTTCTATATG